TACAGAAAGCCCCAATTTTAGTGCAGATCACCTGAGGCCTGGAGTTAGAGACCAGCCTAGCCAACTTGGTGAAATCCCATCTCTATTGAAAATACCAAAATTAGGCTGGGCACGATGGCTTATGCCTGTAATCCCAACACTTTGGGAGGCCGAGGCAGGCGAATCACGAGGTCAGGAGTTCAAGACCAGCCTGCCGACATGGTGAAACCCCATCTCTATTAAAAATACAAAAAATTCGCTGAGCATAGTGGTGGGCACCTATAATCCCAGCTACTCAGGAGGCTGAGGCAGGAAAATTGCTTGAACCCTGGAGGCGGAGGTTGCAGTGAGCCAAAGTCATACCACTGCTCTCCAGCCCAGGTGACAGAGTGAGACTCCATTTCAAAAAAATTTTTTTAACCCCTACCTGAAGCTCACAGTCACTGGAAGTAAAACTGGTGAGTGCAACTGTGTATTTTATCCAGTCATAACCAGCTGCTTGAGGCAAAGAGAAAAACCAAGATTGATATTTTGCCAGGAGTACTGGATATAGGGGAGAGACTGGTAGTTGAAGACATGTGCCAGGAAGTGATTTTAATAATGGACTTTAGAATCTAGGCTGTAAGAAGGGAAATAAAGAAATGAAAGGTGTGAGTAAAAAGTAGCAGTGGTCCCAGTAGATTGAAGGAATACTAAAGATACATAACAAATCATCAAGATATCTGAAGCAAAAATTAACAGAATTGAAGGGAGAAATGGATAGTTCTACAAAAATAGTAGAGGAATTCAATATCCCATGCTCATTAATGGATAGGACAACTAGACAGAAGATAAGGAAATGGAGGATTTGAACAACAGAGCATGCCAACTAGGTCTAACACGTGTATATAGCACACTACCAACAACAGCAGCATGCCCAGTCATTTTAAGTGCACATGGAACATTTTCAGGTCAGTCCACATGTTAGGCCACAAATTCTCAATAGATTTAAAACATAAAAAGTACCTTCTCTGACCCCATGGGATAAAATAAGCAGTAACAAAAGGAAAATGGGGAAAACTCACAAATTTGTGGTAATTAAACAGACTCTAAAACAACTAATCCATGAAAGACATCACAATGGAAATTGTAAAATAGAGACAAATAAAAAAATATACTAAAACGTATGGGACACAGCAAAGGCAGTGCCAAGGGGAAAATCATAGCTGTAAATGTTTACAGTAACAAAAGATCTGCAGTCAACAACCTGACTTTATAACATAAGGAACGAAAAAAAGAAGAACAAAACCCTAAACTAGCAGGAGAGAAAAATAAAGATTATAGCACAGATAAATAAAATGCAGAACAGAAAAAAATAGAGAAAATCAATGAAGCTGACGTTTTGAAAATAGATTAACAAAATTGACAAACTTTTAGCTAGACAAATTTTAAAAGAAGATTCAAATTACTAGAAATACAAACTTACCAAGAAGAAATGATGAAGAAACAGAAAATACACCCATAGTAAGGAGATTGCATCAGTAACCGAAAACCTGATAAAAAGCCCTGGACCTGATAGCTTTACTGGTGCATTCTATCAAACATTTAAAGAACACCATGCCTTCTCAAACTGTTCCTTCCAAAAATGGAAAGGAGTTCTATCAGCCTCTGCCAAGGCAGGTGGATCATAAGGTCAGGAGTTCGAGACCATCCTGGCCAACATGGTGAAACCCCATCTCTACTAAAAATACAAAACAAAAATTAGCTGGGCATGGTG